CTCAGTTGGCAGTAAAATTATCAACAAGCGGTTTACGCCATTAAACGTGTCTCAGAAATCGAGCCCATGACATCTATGTCGGTTTTGCTCTATCCAGCCAGGAAATAGGTTTTGTCTGTTAAAACAAACCAATTTCGACCACACTGTACATGAAACTAACAAAACACACATTTACTGATCTCGATAAAATTGATAGTTAAATAGTAAAACTCACCCGGGGGTACTCCGCCCCCTAGCAACTGACTAGTATATACTAACTGAATATAATATCCCATTCCATATCTTCCATTTAAAACAAATATTATTCGGATCTATAAGGGCTTCTCCCGGACGCAAATCTGACGCTAAACAGACTCACGTCCCGATCGATGAGGCTAATTGGGGTACCTCACTACCCCTACGCCCCAGCGTCAATCGGGAAGCGTTATGGAGACCTCAAACTCTCAAGACCAAACTCGAAGGCAAGACGTCACAAGAGGTTTTCTTCTCAATGGTCCAACTACCCGTTGCGTTACAGTCAAACGACTCGCAACTTTGATAATCAAAAGACTCGCAACCTCCAAATGTCAGCTCTGTGACAAAACACAACACAACACTACAGCCGGGCGGCCCGTCAACTACTGACCCGCCGCGCGCCGGCGCGGCGCCGGCAAGCTAAGCCTCCTATTACATCACAATTTCACCTGAACACAAAAATATTTACATCGCTTGCCAATGAATCATACTATTTTCTCTAATCGACTTTCAAATAGAGTATTTTAGCATTACTAGATAAATAAATAGAGAGTTTCCGAAGGAATACATATTCTTTATTAGAATAGTGAACAATAAAAGCACTATTATAGCGAACTTATTTTCCAAGTTTTACATAAGAATTTTAATTTTTAATAGTGCAGTTATTGAAACTACAAAACACTCTGGTACGAGGTTTGTGTGATGTAACTAGGGTTCGGAAAACTACATGTTACTTTTAAAAACTACATAAACTACATTACATGTAGTTAATGTAGTTTATTATTAGAGGGTGTAGTTAATTATTAGAGGGTGTAGTTTATGTAACATATGTATGTAACTTCCAAATATCAAAGATTTGAGGTAGGTTAAAAAAAAAAAAAAAAAAAAGTGTTTTGGTGTATTGTGGTGATTTAGTGTTTTTATTTTGCTGTGTAACACCAAAGGTTCCAACCCTCAACTGTAATATTTGAGGTAAGGTTATAATAAGTTGAAGCTTTAAAAACACATAATGTATTTAGAAAACAGAAGAAATATGGCTTTAAATATAATATTTACATCTCTTTTACACCTCATACAAAGGAAAATTATTCATAATATCAATACATAGTTTATTAACGTAGTTTTCATGTAGTTAATGAACGGGAAAAGGCGTAGTTTTTGAAGAAAAACTACACGTAGTTAATCAGGTAAATTACGTCTTAATTAACTACTTCCGAACCCTGGATGTTACGCTGTGTTTCGGGTAGTAAAAATTAAGTAAAAAATTGGTCAAGTGCGAGTCGGACCCGCGCACGAAGGGTTCCGTACCATTCATTATCTATACAACATTAGACACTATATTATTATAAACTTTTTTTCCGATTTAGCTGAAATTTTCAATGCGCGTATAAGTAATTTAAAAAAAATGAAGAAACACATTACTAAAAAATGTATTAATCAATAATAAATATGTACAATGTACCCCTTAAAATACTTGCACTTATTTCTGGGATACCTTGTATTTTAAACAAGTATTTTACAAGAGAAATCTTAAAATATGGATATTTTGGATTTGTACGATCTGAAAGAAAACATCAAAAATAACACGTTCAACTAAATATTTACATTTCATATTCCAAGAAATTGTTTATAATAGAGATTCAATAAAATTGCTAGATATGATACTAAAAAGAAAAATGTTACGAGTTTTATTAAGGTCTCATGACTTTTATAATGTAAACCGTGCATCCTAGTTATAAAATATATATTAATAGGTTATTACAAATAAAAATCTTAAAGTTGCCCTCATTTCATTGACACTTTAATACACATCTAATTATATACCGAGTGCATCTCAAAAATTGCTCACCCCCTATAACTTTTTTATTTTTTCAGATAAAAAATACGAGATTGGGTAGGTATATGACATAAATTAGGATTGATTGACTGTTTCACCGGAAATTACTACACCTTTTGATTTTTAAATGGCACCCTAGGTATATAGGGTGATTCTTAACCTATACGCATATAGTTGGGAAATTATTATTGCTGATCACCAATAATGACTAATAATGAAAAAAAAAGTTAGTAAAATATGTTTATTTACGGAGATAACAAACAATTTGAAATAAAAACAAAAAACGTTAATTCCATTAAATTGAATGTGCATTTACTGATAAATTTTTGTGAAAAAAAAACTCAAATTATTTCAGAATCTAAAAATATTTTACTAACATTTTTTTTTCATTATTAGTCATTATTTGTCATCAGCAATAATTTCCCAAGTTTATGCGTATAGGTTAAGAATCACCCTGTATTTGGTTAGGTTAGGTTAGGTTTTCTATCCAATAAAGTAGAAATGTACCGAGTGTACCATTTAAAATTTAAAAGTTGTAGTCATTTCCGGTGAAATACGAACTGACCAAAAACAATTGAATATGTCAATCAATCCTAATATACAGGGTTGTTCAGCACATACGACACGGAGTATTGTAGCTAAACGATTATATTTTTACAAATTGTAAGTTTTGGGTTCGATGAAGGACTATTAGAAGTACAAATTAAAAATAATTTTAGTGTCCCAATAAGGAAAAATAACAAAGTTGTATTTTTTTAAATGGAACACCCTGTATATTATTACATTTTTAGTTTCTACTATTAAAATAATGGTAAATTTGATTAAGGTTTATTATACTTAAACCTTACCGTTTTTGAAATATTTTCAATTTTGTGAAATTGCAGTAAAAATTTTAAGGCTTCATTTCTCTAAGGGTATCAAAGTTTTTAATATTGAAATATTTACTGAAGTTTATTTATTGATCAGTATATTCTGTTACAATAATAAAAATAACACTACCTTATACAGAGTGTCTAAAAATTTATTTAAATAATATCTAGCTTTAAACGCCAATAACTTCTTTAATTTAAATGAAACGCCCTATATATTTTAGGAGAATTAGGTGCACAATTTAATTGTCTATCAAATTGTATTATATCATTTCTTACCTATCCCTTCAAGTTTTCGAAGAAAATGCATTTTCTTATAATTTAGACCTCATCAATATACCTATGGAATATTGACATTTTAGATTGTTTTTAAAGCACCAAATGTACAAAATGTACAGGTTTGGTTTGTAATATTATCGTTTTGCAAAAACGATAATATTACTAGCCCATTGGTATGTAAAAAGAAAACTATTTAAATCTTTATAAAAGTGTATACCATTAATTAAATATAACACTATTATTTCCACCCATATACTAATTAATTACATACTTAATTGTGTTCGTTAATAAATTATTCTAAATAAATGTGGATTTGAGTCAGAAATCAATATAATAATAAGTTATCAAATTAAAGTCTCTGTTGTTATAAATAAGCATTTATTAAAAAATGAAATATCATTTTTAAGGTGTTACTTTTTACCACACTGTCTAATACATTACAAAACTGAGTTTTTTAGTATTTGGGGCAATTATTATTAATCAACGCAAACAGTCAGTTAATGTAGTTTGAATACTGGAATCATATTAATTGGTCCTCTTTAACAAATATTTAAACATTTTTTTTTATTTTTTAATGAAATAGGCCTATGTCCAGCAGTGGACGCAAAGGGCTGGCTGATGATGAATGAAATAAACGAATTATATCAACAATATTAGTATCTGTACTCTTTAAAAATTTGGTACATCTTTAAAAATAATCTAAAATGTCAATATTCCATGGGTATATTGATAAATAAGTTCTAAATTACAAGAAAATGCATTTTCTACGAAAACTTGAAGGGATAGGAAAAAATATTATACAATTTGATAGACAATTAAATTGTGCCTTTGATTGTCATAAAATATACAGGGTGTTCCATTTAAATTAAACAAGTTATTGCCGTTTAAAGGTAATAATTATTTAAAATACATTTTTGGACACTCTGTATAAGGTAGTATTATTTTTATTATTGCAACGCAATAACTGGTCAGTAAATAAACTGCAGTAAATATTTAGTATTAAAAAATTTGATACCCTTGGAGAAATGAAGCCTTAAAATTTTTGCTGCTATTTCACAAAATTGAAAATATTTCAAAAACGGTAAGGTTTAACTGTAATAAACCTTAATCAAATTGACCTTTATTTTAATCCTAGAAACTAAAAATGTAATAATATACAGAGTGTTCCATTTAAAAAAATACAACTTTGATATTTTTTACTTATTTGGAACACTCTGTATCTTGTAAAATTATTTTTAAATTGTACGTCTAATAGTCCTTCATCGAACCCAAAACTTACAATTTGTAAAAATCTCATCGTTTAGCTACAATACTCCGTATCGTATGTGGTGAACAACCCTGTATGTCATATACTAACATACCAAATCTCCTTTTTTTTGTCTGGAAAAATAAAAAAGTTATAGGGGTGAGCCACTTTTGAGAGTCACCTGATATAATAATTTTAGAATAACAACTGATTTTCATTGCAATAGCAAAAATAATGGTTTGTAGTCCGTTTTTAAGTCAACTATTTATCTAGTGGACATATATTTATTTAAATTTATTGATTCAACTAACAGGCTTAAAGAAAAAATAAATTTTAAAAAGGAATTTAGTTTTTAAACAATAATACTGTGATAATACCGTACGATCGAAACAAAAGTCGTCAGCGATGGCTATGAAATGAAGATCGCTGTCATTATAAATTTATATGGAAAACGCCGCTTTTTTTCGATCACACGGTATATTGTAATATAGTTTTATAGGTAACGATATATTTAATAAGAGGAAGAGACAACTATACAAAACACATTTTATTAAACAAATCACATCATGTAATATTTTTATATTAACTTTAATTAATAGATACGTACATATATAAAAAAAAAACAGTTATTTAAACTAAAACAGCAAAATTTAAAATAGAAATCTTAGTTTTAGATAGTATTAGCTCCAAGAGCTCTGACTAGAAACTTTGTAAAGAAACTCGTACCCTTCTCCAACACTTTTTCCTGTTCAGTAGGTTTTCTTTCAGCTGGAAGCGCCAAAATTGTCACGCAAAAGTCGTTTACAGGTATTGAATGCACCTCTCTTTTACTACGAGGTGGCAGAGTTGTAGGAACCTCGGTTGTAGTAACATTTTCTTGCGAATCAGTACCATTCTGCACACTGCTCGTCGTACTTACAGTGGTATTCGTAAGAGTAGTTGAATTTGCTCCATTATTGTTTACAATAGTCGTGTTATTCACTATAATAGTGTTATTAACGTAAGTTATATTTCCCATCACCTTAGCACTGGATATGCAGGGTATTGTTAAAGTTTCGTTTTGACCAGTGGTACAATCCTTAGTACCGTTAACACAAGGAATGGTGGTTCTAACGCAGTTTCCTTGTCTGTTGTTGGTACATGGTACGGTGCTTGTAGCGCTGGCTACACATAAAATTGCCCCGTTGCTGGTGCATAAAGAAGTGGTTCCGGCAGGGCAAATAGAACCGCTGTCGCCTATACAACCTACTATGGCGTTGGGTTGGATGGTACTTTGAGCTGGAACGGCGTCCCGATTGTGGTAATAGTGGTGTACTTCGTAATGGTCGTACCTAAAAAAATATAAGAAGAACATATTACAACAGGGCTTTTTATACAATATGTTTACTTAAATTACTTTAGTTGATGAACGTTTTTGGAATATATTCAGTTTGGTGTCACATAAGAGCAATTATAAATTTTGCTAATGTTGCCATTCTTTTAGAAAAAAGTTTTACTCTACTTAGTTAGTTAGATATTGTACGACGTGTTTATAAAAAATATAAAAAATCAATCCAGAAATTACAAAGTCTAGTATTTCAAATGGAAACCTTCATTTTTGTTCAATTTACCAACGACCGCCAAGAAATAGAAAAAAATAATTTGATTTAAAATGATAGACAACACCCTGTGTCTTTTAATGAATTATTATAAACATTTACCTAAAGTAAAATATTTTCTAAAAGATATAATAAAGAAAAATTGTGTGTGCACTATGTGGGCATATTTGAAGTGAAACTTCTTACCAACAGCTATATTAACTGAAGGATTTGAGTATGAAAAAGTGTAGTTTGAAATGTTGAAAAAGTAATAAGTTAAAATTAATAAATAATCTCTGTCTCGTCTATCCGTCTGAGGACTCCATTCGGGCACCTCTATCCACGTGCCGAGTTTGGTTCCAATCGACCCATAATTAAGAAAAATCCTGATGATTTAGTCCATTTAGAGGCATCGGTTCGAATTATCGAGGGCATCATCCGGTAGCCCGTTCCCAATTATGCCGAAATCGACCCACATTTTTCTCCAGTATCAAATCCTTAGTCCCACCCTGATGAAGATGTAAACGAAAAGTAGTATCCAACTTTGCAGGGTGCAGGGTGGGACCGTGTGCACCGTCGCTCACATAACCCAAAGTACATAAACCATGGTATACTCATTTGTCGTTTCAAATTGATTCATTTCTGCGCATGACGTCACATTCGAATCAAATCCATGACAGCTGCATTTTATCTAATGGTTTTTATCTGGTTTTTATCGTGATTTTATGGTAATTTGCCTGTTTTTATATAGTGAGTTTTGTTAGTATATTCCGTAATTCAGTTTCTAATATTTAGTACGATTGATTCTAGGTGGCTAGACGAGGTATTAATTTGTTTTAAAAGCTTAAAATGCCTGGGTGTACGGTGGCTACCTGCAACAACACTAATCTGAAAACGAACAGTAAATATTTCGGATGTCCTAGATTGTTTTGGCTAAACAATGCTTGCTCTCGAGAGGATAAGATAAATCTAAAAAATGGTTAGCTTACATTTTGAATCACTTAATTTATAGATCTACTTTGAATAATAACCAAACTAATATATTTAGGGATATCCTTATCCTACTCAATTTTTTGTTTACAATAGTTTTTATCGAGTATCATTGTGAATAATTTTAAATAGAACACAATATGTTTGTGACATAAATATATAGTTCATTTATTTTAGCTTGTGTCAGCTCCATACATTTTGCTGATAGCTTCAAATTTCCAATGAAACAAAGATTGCTACAATACAATCCAAAAACTGGCCGCAATTTAAAATTTGACATTGTGTCAGTATTACATATTCCTTGTTCATCTCATAAACCTAAGACTACTGCAAGATCTGGTTAAATTGCTAAAAGAACGCAACATAACACAGTAAGTTACGGAAATATTAAAGGAGTCATTTGAGACTCAACCTTCAACTTCATATGAAGAACCTTATTTGCAATCTTGAACTAACTAAGAAAACCAAGCATCTGGTAATAATAGACCCATGATGGCTGAATTAACCAAAGCATTAGAAACTAGTATTACTGTGAAAACCCCCACCAGAATTAATCCTCATTAAGTTTAACTTTGTATATTTAATACAAATAGGATACTCTCCAGCAATATGAAAATGTGTGTTGGGCAATGTTGAAACTATTCCCTTGTAAATTTATTATATGTGATATTAATAATGTAAATAAATTATATTATTAGAGTAATTAGATGAGTATCCACTTTCATTTTACATTATTACTCAAAACTGTTCTCTTGTAAATTTAATATGTGACATTAAAGATGTAAATATTCATTCATTTCATATTATTACTCAAAATCTCTTGTATTACTTGGTTGTTACCTATAAAAGGTAGAGGGAATTATAGTATCTTAATTCTCGTTAATAATGTCCGAAGAGAGATTTGACAATATAAGCTTATATTGCATTCAGTAAGAAATAAATAAAAATATATCAGACTTTAATGGTGTAGTATTGTGTATTCAAAACATAGAATTAAAGGTCATCTAGTCAACAAATATTAATTTCCACTCTATGAAATAATAAATTAATTAAGATATATTAATAAAATTGATGCATAAATTATTTAAAAAACTTATAGGCAACAAAGTCTCGAATTTAACTGAAAATTGTTATGAAAAGCTGTGCTTTAACATTTTTGGCGATTTCAAATTTTGATTCGAATCTGACGTCATTCGTGCGAGAGAGATGGAGCTTTACATGCGCATCGGCATACCATGTTTTCTTATACTATGATATAACCTACCCACCAAATTTGGTCGTGATCTAACGAGTCAATTTTTGACGTTTCTTGCGTCAAAACTAACTGTCACAGTAACACGTGTCGTACACGGTCAAGTTGACCTTGGACCAATCTACAGACATACCAGATTTCATTTAAATCGGATGATTTTTTCGCTATTGATAATGGGGTTTCATAGTGCACGAAACGTCGTCAAAATATCATGAGAACTACATTCCGAGTTCCATCAGACCCCTAGCTCACGTAGGGCCCAAGTTACGACGCTATAAAGACCCATCTCAACTTCCTCATTGGCATACCACATTTTCGATCGTTATCACTTTTCATTAGTAGTGGGAATTATCGAATGAATACTATCGAAACATTCGATAGTTGCAATTCATTCGAATAATTCGATAGTTAGTAAGAAAACATTCGTTGAAAACTATTCGAATAAAGATTATCGAATAGATCCGTCATCTGCCTTGAAATATTGTATTCTAGTAATTCGGCAGCAAAAACCATTCATTTATAAAATTCATTCATTTATAAAATTCATTCATTTATGAAATTCATTTGTTCGTCAGGATCGATTATAATAAAATATTAACTGAATTTTAGTTGTCGCCCGGCGACGTAGGTTTTTTTCCGAGAAAGCGGTCGTTGGCAATGCTATGAAAGAAGCCGGCATCTTTGATTTTTTGCGGAGTCATATATAGATAAGGACACATTATTTTTTTTATTGAGGTGCTAGTATTTACACAGAAAATACATTATGAAGGGCGCTGTTGCCATATTTTTGTATTAGTTGATATTAGCAAAGAATATTATTGTTTGGCTTTAGTTAGTTAGGGATAGTATGTCTATATATTCTGCATTTTTTATTAATATTCTGTTGTTACACTGCAATAATACTTGTTATTTTGGATGTAGGAAAATTATTTTAATGTTTTTAAGCAAAGACTGGTTTAATAAATAATAATAACAGTAATAATTTGTTATACCTATTAACAACAAAATTTAAAATCATTTAATATAAATATTTTTTTTTTAAGTAGTAGCAAAATATAAACAACAAATTAGATGTCAAAATTATTTATATTAGATCCTATTTAAAAATAATTTAGTCTCTAATTTTTTTGGCAACGTTGGTTTATTAAATAATAATAATTACAGAACTAATTTGTTATATTAACAACAAATTTTAAAATCATGAAATATAAACATTTATTAATTTTCTAAGCAAGCGGTATAATGGAAGGAAAATATAAATAAAAAATTAGAAATCAAAATTATTTATATTAGGTGCTTTATATTACTATTTAAAAATTATATTTACTTTTACTGGCATTTACTTTAAAAAATAAATGAAATATTTCTTCGCAAAAAACTACATGTAAGAGAATTAGCATAAACAAAATACAAACATCGTTAACTTTTTTTTTAAATTGGCACGTGTAAAATTTTCATTTTAATTTTCTCACCCCATAGTTTGAGTTCGATAACCATTTATTTAACCACATTACTTAAATATAATTATTAAGTTCCAACTAATTCATAGGTATTATTAAAACATCTAAAATACAAATATGTATTTTTAAAATTAATTTTTAAAATTAAGTTCATCTCATCTCTCTTAAAAATTGCTACTTCTCAAAATTTCCCATTAAAAAATAGACCATATACCATATAAAATGAAATAATTGAAAGATCGGACTACGGAAAACCACACAAATTATCGGAAAAATTTTGACCACCTGCACATGCACACAATCGTCAATAAATAAAATTAAAAAATAACTACTATTTTAGTATTTTAACAATTTTAATAAACGCAAAAATAGCACAGTATTTATACGGCGAAGTTATAAAAATTTGGAAGAACCAATAATGCCACTGAGGCATACAAAATTCAAACGAATACTAAATTTCATTTATCAAAAGCATTCGATAGTCGTGGCTCAACGATAACCATTTAGTCGCACGGCGAGGTTGTCATATATGCTTTAGTTTACAAATGAATGAATGATTTTATTCGAATAAAACCATTCGATAGTTGAAATCATTCATTCATTAACCATTCGATAGTCTAATTCATTCCATAGTTCCCATCGCTACTTTTCATGACGCTAGCTCGTGTGTCACGTCTTTCAATTTTTACTTCTAGCGTGCGTAAAGAAGTTTCACTTCAAAAAGTGTGTACCGTATATCTAATAGAAAAGATTCTTATGATCAAGTGGGCTTTGATTTTGACAGTTACGGTTTTTCTGTTGTCATACAAAGCACGGTTAATGATAAAACTTTTTGATCATGTTGTACGTTTAAAATATTGGTTACTTAATAATTTGAAACCAACTTACCTTGGTGTGTACTGATTACTGTATCCGGTGAAATGGTATGTAGGTGTAGTTATTTTTGCCAAAGAGTATCCTAAGAAAAATCCAAGAGCACCACTTCCTACGTCACTATGGGAGTAGTGGTACGATGGATAGGAGGCGTAACCTAAACCACCCCCTCCATAACCTCCACCAAATCCTCCACCGCCATAGTTGTGCGTGTTGTAATTATTTATGTTGACGTTTGTGATGCCTCCTGGCGCAGCTCCATAGTGTGGCTGGTTTGGATATCCTAAGAAATATCAAAGTTTTATTTATTAAAAACAAAAATCTAATTAAAACATGTAATATACAAATTACTATGTGAATGTGATCAATTTTATATTGGCGAAACATCTAGATCCATAAATGTTCGAATTAAAGAACATAAAGATTATTTAGGAAGGGCGATTTTCTGAAATATAAGATTTGTCAGCATTCATGGGACACAGGGCACAGAGTAGATTTTAACAACGCAAAAATTATTGTGAAAGAAGCGATAGATTCTAAACGAAAAATAAGAGGGGCTTTTTTAATACAGTCTAATGGCGTAGGATTACTATAAAAAACTTTAATATATATTTTTAATAACTTTTTTCAAACGTCACAAAAGTATTAATTTTTGCGACGTGATTGACAATATAAAAAAGACATATTAACATCTAGGTATAAAAGTAAAGCATTTTTACGCCTCAGCACAAATGTACGAAAATATATTATTAAACTGATATAAAGTGTCAAATTCAATGAGCGTAACCATAGTTTCTCTATATACAACACAAAATTTGGAACGTTTGAAATTCTTTAAAAATTATTTATGGCGTTGGAAAAAAAATATCATGGTGTATTCGGAGTAAAAATGACTTTTTGTCGCTCACCTATATGTTAAGCATATGTAGCCTCGCCACAAAAAGTTTAATTTTTACTCCTAATAAAACAATATACTATTATTTAAAATAAGTCTCTTACTGAACTCACAATATTGAAGAATCTCCCCTACATATTAAAAACTCAGAATAATAAACAGTACCTTAACATATTCCATATTTTATTAAAAAAAAAGAATTTCAGCTATTTTCAGAAAAAAAAAACAAGATTCATGTCATATCCATTGTTTCAGAAACAGACGAGTTTCTCTTATGCATTTTAGCCTCCTAGATCATGTCAGAGAGGTTTTTGTGTTATTTCTACCTAACAATTCATTGTTTTTAAACCAGACGAATGTAGTTTTAAAAAGCTGTTTTATTCTATTATGATTCTTTCCTTAAATAGCTGCAAGAAAAACTTAAAGAATACTGTTACGTTTTTCGTCGGTTCCGTGTGGATAGAAAGTCTAATTTATTTAAACACAATTTATTTTACACTAAGTAAAAAAACAATAACGATAAAACTACTTAAAGAACTATTTACCAACTTATTTACTATTTATCTAAAAGGTATTTATTTTGAATTTAGCGCGGTAACTGTACGCTTCGCCCGATTGTTTTTGTCTCTCCTTTGCACAGGCCTCAGGTTATACACCCACAGCTAAACAGTTCTCGAATAGTCCATTAGATCGTTAGGTGCATAGAGAAGATTTAGAACGTTCTAGTATGTACGCCTCCAAGCCTCCATTCCAGTGGGACTCGAATGTTAGAGAACAATCGATCAGCTGAGTTATTGCGGTGTCCCTTATTTAATGCGATATTAAGGTCATATGGGGGCGGGACATATTAGAACGGGTTAGGCTGATTTCAAACAGGTACGCAATAATACTTTTAAAATATGAAGTATTAATATGAAATATTTTGGAGACCTTTAATCACTAAAAGGGCAACGGCCCAGCTACTTCGAAACACCGGTTCCCATTAGAATACCGAAGTTAAGCGACGTAAATCGATACTAGTGGATGGACGGGTGATCGGTTCGAAACTCTGTATCGTGCTGTTGTCCAATAAAGGCAAAAGTGTAAAATCTATTGACACACACGACTGCTCATTCACGCCGGTTCGAGGCCGGATGAGATCGGATATCTCGTAAGAGTCGATTGACACTTGTCAAGTCGGTAGGTCATTGACCATGATATGGCCGAGGACCGCGGTTCGGATTCCGCGTAAACAAAGTAGGCCCCGTCCAGATAAGCCCTGACAGCAAAAAGGAGACGTAAACTTGAAATCTTTACTTTACTTTTTTAATCACAAAATAATACTAAAAGATATCGATAAAATTACTGATGACGGAGGGAAATAGGACTATAATTCATTATTAATGTTATTGGCCTAGACATTAGCCCATTACAAAATAGCGAATTGTTTTATCTCCCAATTCTCAGTCATGAATAAAATATTGTTAATTAAAACATTCTCCATATATTACGCACGTGTAAGTTTTAAAAGTAAAGGAAAGTTAATTACATAGTTTAATTAAAATACAGACAATTATTCCACCCAGATGATCCTTGTGTTAACTTTTAAATTCCAAAGCAAATATGAACATTTTTGAGTTTAATCGCTAACGCTTGGCCGAGTCATTTTTACTCCGAATAGAACATGCAATTTTTTTCAAACGCCACAAATAATTTTTTTAAATTTTCAAATGTTCCAAATAATATAAAAAGATTTAAAAGTAATACCTTGTATGTAATTATATATCGAGAAACTATGGTTACGGCTCGATGAATTTGACACTTTATGTCAGTTTAATAAACATATTGTTGTGGACCCGTGTGGACTCGACCTAACCTAACTATATGTCCCGCCCTCAGATGACCTTAACATCGCTTAAAGAATAGACACCGTAATGATTCATTCGTTCGAGAAGAATCGAGTCCCACTGGAATGGACTAGTGCATACGAGAACATTCGAAAACCTTCTCTATGCACTTAACGATCTATGGACTATTCTAGATTTCTTTTGCTGTAGGTATAAAAGCCGGCGGCTGTGGCCTAGAGAGGGCAGTTATAAATATACCAGTGCAGTTGACGCGCTAAAATTCAAAATAAATTCTTAGTTATAAATCGTTTGTAAATAGTTCTATAAGTCTTTTATCGTTATTGTTTTTGTTAATTAGTGTTAAATAAATAGTGTTTAAATAAATTGTAACTTTCTATCCACACGGAACCGACGAAAAACGTAACAATATTAATCTACGACAATGTCATTATGACACATTTAACATTGTCATATGGCTTTCATAATAACAAGCAAATTTTAAAATAAGAAACAAGCAACCCTTTACACCAATCTTCAAGTTTTACATAGGCTTGCTTGTACGTTTGTCTTGATTTTTCGGGAAGTAGAGAATCGACAACGTTTTGCGCAATGCCTTCAATATCCGAAGGGACACTTTCAGAATCAGAATCACCCATATTAATATTATTTTTTGCTTTTTGCAAAAACTGAACGTTTAACACAAAATTGAACATCAATAATTGAGTTGTCAAAGTCAAAATGGAAACAATCCACAAGCACAGTTACCACGGCGTCGACTAATATGGGCACCTGATAATTTTGAATTAAAATTTTAATTTTTATGAGGATATCTCTGATATTTTAAATTAAATAAAATCTCTTTGGATCGTCCCTCGTGTCGCGTCGTAGATTAAATTTTGAATGATACACGTTCGATACGAACTTTTGAATAAAACTTATGTAACTAAACGTTACACGCGTTTCATTATGATGTTCGTATCGAACTTGTATCATTAATAACTATTTCGTACTTTTGTACTTATGTGTAAAAGTGTTTTACTTTTATGCCTAGGCGTTAAAATAACTTTTTTATTATGTCAATCATGTCGCAAAAAATTATACTTTAGTGACGTTTGAAAAAAAAAATAATTTTTTATTTTATACATTTTCTTCAAGTGACAAAAAAAACAAAATTTCTGTTTTCTATCATGCAATTTAGCCAATTAAAGTAAATGGAAATTTATTACAACGTTTGTTAATAAAGAAATTAATAAATAAAAATGTCTAACTAACCTCCTTGTTGTGGATGTCCATAGCCGTTATAATGTCCTCCATATCCTCCATAACTAGGGTTGTAAGCAGGTGGAGGTCCATATCCAGCTGGATTATGAGCCGGGTTATACGCTGGAGGTGGAATTCCAGGATTGTGAGGTGTATATGGAGGTGGTTGAACTAATAATATATAAAATAGATAATAAGAGTGTCATAATTCGTTAACCATTCTAAACAAATTTATTAGATGAGAGACCTACTACTTGTAGAATATATTAATAGCTTATTAAAAGCAAAATAAAACACTAAATCACCACATTACACCAAAACGCTTTTACTTTTGGTGTATTGTGGTGATTTAGTGTTTTATTTTGCTGTGTAGCACCAAAGGTTCAAATCCAAGAACGGTAAATTAATAGGATTGCTCATCCTCATAAGACGTACGTTCGCCTCTTCCCGCGCTTCAGCTGTCGTTGTGTCGTCATTGTAGTCCTAGTCATAATAGTGTGTATTATTGGTTGCTTATAGAAAACTAATAAAAATAACAGCTGAGAAATTTTGAGTTAATTAATTTGTCGATTTTAAATGTGAAAAAGGTGTTTTTAAAGTTTTTAGAGCTACAGAGTTTATAAATACATTCATTTTGTGTTGTGGATTCTACGATATTGTTTATTAATTATTTTAAAGCAAAATATGAAAGTATGTACTCTAAAAAGAATGCCTGCGAAAGGTGATGCTGGGAACTGCTGTTCTTAAAAATGCATTATGCGAATATTTAATAGGATTTATACAGTTAGTTTTTTATACTGCATACATATAAGGTGTTTAAATAAATAAACTAAATAATGAATGTTTTGCATACGGCAACCAATAATACACACACTATCATGACAAGGACTACAATGGCGTCACAAAGCAAAGACTTTTCACCTGGCAGACACTTTCAGCTGAATGGGCAGTCCTCTAAGGATAACTGTTCTTGGTTCCAACCCCCAAATGTAATCAACTTATTACAACTAAAAGAATTTCAGACCTCCTCAAATTGTCTTTATTGATTTTCATTAACACAATGTTTCGGTCAGAAGGATCACTGACTCTTATCAAGTGCTAACTAATCTAATTCACAAAACTAGTGGGTTATTATACCATACCATACCATACCAGGAGAATTCATGGCGTAGGCATTGCAATCAAAAACGAAATCGCCCGCCGACCCTAAGGTACCCCAAAGCAGACAAAACTTACGTTATGATACCACAGCCAGGCGTTCACCAGCAAAGAAGTTGAGTGCAGTCAACTGTGAGGTTGTCCACTTAGAATGCCTGCATTGGTGCGTCTTATAAGTCGTTGCCATATCGTAGATATTTCCGCACTAGGATTGCTAAAGATGCTATTATTGTTTGCTATAAAAATCGGCTTTTTTAAATTTAAGCTTTTTCCAATGACGTTCCCTGTGGACAACCCGAGCTTCCAACCACTTTATATTGCGCTGTTTTGACTAAATAGGATCCGCAATACCTGACTTTACTGATTCACTTTTTGTACATGGTTTGGTTTGTACATTTCTAGAGGACGTTTAGTCTCTCCAATATACGACTCACCGCATTCACAAGGTACCTGGTAGATGCACTCTTTCTCTTGTTTCAATGAGTCCGGATTTTGTTAGGAGACTTCTTAGAGTCGATCCAGAATTTAAGACAGTTTTACTCTTATACTTTTTGCCTATTCGCCTGATCTTTTCTAACATTTCTTTTACATATAGAATAGTCAAGAGAGGGAGAGTCATCATTCTCGAGAGATATTCTTTTAGTTTTAATACTGAATCAAGGTGCCGGTGGCGTAGAGGTACAGGCTCTCGTCTACCAATCTCAAGGGAGAGGGTTCAAATCCCACACCTGGCATTTCATCAGCCGACTATTTTTATTGAAATAAAAATAGTTTGGGTACCTGGGTCGACTCAGCCTTAAATGAGTACTTGTGATTCACAGTCCTGAGGTAATAATAGGCGGTTGTAGCGTTGTGCTAGCCACATTGCCTTCCTTGTAGACCGAACGGCTCTTGTGTGGCAAGCTGTACCTTGCTACTCCCAAGGCGTAGCTATATACGGGAGCTATTATTATTATTATTATACTGAATCATTGTCTACCACATTCAACGAAATATTAATAACTTATTGGTTAAAAGTTGTTTTGTTATTTTGTAAGATATATTGCTCACTCCACAAGTAGTAGCACTAGTAGAAGCAAAAATTATCATTTTTGAAGAATCCTTTTAACATTCACAATAATTGTACTATATATTTCCATATTTATACCCTTCTCATAAAATTAATTTCAAAATAAGAGTAATTATACGGAACTCACAATTATTATTGAAATTTGTCCATAAAAAAAGTAAAACGGAGTTGCAAAATGGTGTTTCAAAATGGCTAGTTTGAGGTTCCTTCCTTCGTTGTGCGAATATACAGGGTGGTCCGAACTTCTGGCAGCATATTCTGCAGATAAAAATAAGTAAAAAAGTTCGTATAAATGTATGTCCTAAATTGCTTAGTTTCAGAGAAGAGTGTAGAAGTTTCATTTTTATTTCGATTTTTTCTTAGTTTCAGAGATCTAGTGCGTAGAGTTTCATTTTTATTTCGAGATTTTTTCCTAATAATTTCTGAAGTAACGTCAATATTTGGACGAAAATTGATGTCTGGGATTTTTTGACATCAGAAATTTGATTTTGATGTTAATATCACTCCTATTTGTAGAGGGCGCCAGCTACATGTGTTTTAACCTTTGAATAGGAAGACTAAGGCCCGTATTTATAGTTGCATCTCGAGACGCCAAGACGGTCTTGGGCTCTTGAGAGCGGAATCCACAGAATACACGAGCAAACGTCATTTTGGAGATTGCGATTTTCATTTTGGAGATTGTCATTTTGGATAGTTTATGTGATCTGTGGATAGTTTCATAGTTTCTTAACCCAAATTTTTTTGTAAACAAAGTAAATCCCTCTGGTAAATCCCTTGTAAATATGCTTGTAAATCCGTTTTGTCTGATTAAACAGTTTTCAATATGTTAGAAGAGTTTGAGGATATTTTGGACCATGTGGAAGAAGAAAATCGTCTTCGGGTTCCAAAAAGATATATACGGGATGCAGGAAATCCAATAGAAATGTTTAGCGAGGGTGGATTTATGCCGATATAGGTTTAACCAGGCTACAATTACAGAAACTATTTTACCTCTTATAAATTGAAGACATGCAAAAACCTACCAATCGTGGTTTACCCATTCTCCCCGTTATTCAATTACTAATTTGTTTACAGTTTTATGCGACTTGTAATTTTTAGATGGTAAATGGAGACTTGCGTGGTGTTAGCCAACCTACAATAAGCCAGATAATCAAGAATAATGCAATAATGTGGAAGTATCTCAAAATTGCAAAAGTTAAAAGTTTTTTAGTCTAAATGTTCAGGTCCCAAAAGGGAAATTATGGATATTATAGTTGGATATCCAGGGTCAAGTCATGATAGTGTTATATTCGATCCAAGTAATTTAAGAATGCTAATGGAAAGGAGTGATATTCCTGGTTTACTTCTTGGAGAAGATGCGTATAGATGTAGGCCATTTCTATTGACTCCTGTTCTACAGCTAGGTAATCAACAAGAAACCAGGTATAACTTTGCCCATAGAAGAACGCGAAATGTTGAAAGGCTATTTGGGACTTGGAAAAAACGTCTTCCATGTCTCCGAGGTTTATAAAACAATTGTTGCTATTATTTGTGCAACAGCTGTTCTTCATAATATTGGTTTAAGCGAAAATTTAGATAATTTTGAAGATGCTAATTTAAAATTTCCAATTATAAATAAAAAGGAAGAGGGTTATATTTTTGAAGAAATCTTATTCAACATTTTGCAAATTAATGTATTTATTGTATTAATATATGTATATCTAGTAATTATGTAATATGTTAAGTAATGTTCCAAGGTAACTAGTATCTATATAATAATTTTATTTACTTTTCTATTAGTGTTAAGTTAGTATTTATATATTTACATGTAACATAATTGTAAGTAATTCCTTATAGTCTTTTATTAGTTATCTTAAAAATACTGTTTTTCTATACTTAAATAATATATGATTTCTTAGTAGTTTTATGCTCACTATGACCAGACAGCTAAGTGCTTGTTTTAACTGGTCACACAGAATTTTCCCACTAATACATTAAAACTAAAAAAATTGTCTTTTTATTTTCATCATGAATATATAAATATCATATCACATATTATGCAATATTGGATGTATACACCGTATACCTATAATTTTCAAGATTTTATTGCTTGGTGTAAATTCTGTATTCTTATTGAGTTGACCACTCTATATAAAGTAGATACTCCATGTTTTATAGTTTTATTTCAAATAATATTTCACAATACACATTCTATGATTATTGCGTTTTTACTGCTTCCTTATTTCTTGTCGTCTAAATGACATTCTTCTCTCTTCTTTTTTTGCTAGTCTGCTAGCCTATAATTTTTTTTATACTTTGTTCCATTTCTATATGTTTTTTGACCTCTTCTCTCAATTTTTCAGGTAATCGAGTACTTTTCATTCTCTACTGTCAATAACCTCACTTGTCCATCTTCAAATAAAACTGCAGTCCTCGGAATGTATCCATATAATAAATCAGGTGTTTTTATAGCTCTTTCTATATTCTTAATATATGTGTCCCATTTGTTGTCATCATCTGCACAAGCCGAAGCCAGTATCATTGGAATAATAATGCTGTTCAACGATTTATGGTTGTATCACACAAATTCACTCAAATGTTCTGCTATTAAAATGGACACCCTCTTGATAATCTGGCTTATTGTAGGTTGGCTAACACCATGCAAGTCTCCACTTACTATCTGAAAATTAGAAGTCGCATAAAACCGTAAACAAATTAATAATTGAATAACGGAGGGAATAGGTAAACCACGATAGGTAAGTTTTTGCAAGTCTTCAATTACAAGAGGTAAAATAGTTTCTGTAATTGTAGCCTTGCTAAACCTATATCGGTATTTAAATTCCCCCGCGCTAAACATTTCTATTGGATTTCCTGCATCCCTTATATATCGTTTTGGAACTCGAAGACGATTTTCTTATTCCACATGGTCCAAAATATCCTCAAACTCATCTAACATATTCAAAACTGTTTAATCAGACAAAACGAATTTACAAGGGATTTATTTTGTTTACTAAAAAAGTTAGGTTAAGAAACTATCCACAGATCACATAAACTATCCAAAATGACAATCTCCAAAATGACGTTTGCTCGTGTATTCTGTGGATTCCGCTCTCGAGAGCCCAAGACCGTCTTGGCGTCTCGAGATGCAACTATAAATACGGGCCTAAGGAAGGAGCATAATGCTATCCATGTATTCATGCATGGTGGGCGGAAAAGCCACCATAAAAGCTCTCTAGGGTGGGGATCCTTGACACTTCTGTTTGACGATTCATTTGACACATTTGAATTTGATTTGAAATGTTGTTGATTTGTCAGTCTTTACGGAGCTTATTTTATGTTATTTATTATTTATTCTACTACTGAGAGTTGTATAAAGGTAGTAAATCTAGATGGAAATTGTGGCAGAACTTAAATTAACAGTGACACTATCGCGATATATCGAAAAAGACTCTAAAATAGTTGGTTGTGTAGCGTGCGGTAGATTTTGGCAAAAATTGAGTGAAATAATGGAACAACTTTTCGCTAGTAAGTGACTATATAATATACATACGTGTAGTAAACCGATCATTTTTGAAATTCACTTAAATTAACTAAATTATATATTTTTCTTGCATTTTTAGCTTTTATTTATTACTTGTCAAAGATTAGATGTCAAAGAATTTAGATACGTTAATTTCACTTACCTGCTTCAGTAGCGTATCGGATGTTTGTGTTAATAAATACTTATTATAACTTATCTATTTTTATTAGAATTATATATTTTTATAACAATTTTAATAACTACCAACATTTATTCACAACGTAAAATAAAACAACAAATTATTGAGTCTACCCCACGTCTACCCTACATCATAGTTTTACATTTTTTAAATAAAATTAGAACGACACTGATAAACCGGAATTTAAGTCGGCCATATTTGAGGCCCATCGCGGTGTACCTGAGATTTTTGATATGCTCCTTCCTTAGTCTTCTTATTCAAAGGTTTTAACTGAATAAAGAGTAATAACTTTTCGTCCGTATCTGTATAAAACTACTGAGTATAAAAATATACATTTACGTAAATCAAGATATTGAAGTAGTAAATAAATATCATTATTGACAAAAAATTATGTTGAGTAGATCGTTATTTGACTGAAATGATAAATTTGGGCACTTTTTATTTTGAAGGCAAAAGTGTAAAATCTATTGACACACACTGCTCATTCACGCCGGTTCGAGGCCGGATGAGATCGGATATCTCGTGCGTAAGAGTTGAATTAGACACTTGCCAAGTGGGTAGGCCATTGACCATGATATGGCCGAGGACCGCGGTTCGGATTCCGCGTAAACAAAGTAGGCCCCGTCCAGATTAGCCCTGACAGCAAAAAGGATACGTTAACTGAAATCTTTACTTTACTTTTTACTTTTTATTTTTTTAAATTAATCATAATTTTTTCTCCGGAAAATGATAAAGTTTTTTTTTGAAATTGAAAAAACTTTTGACACAAAATAATTTCAAATTTATGATTTGAGTCTAGCTATTTAGTCGACATGTTTAATTTATTGTTTTTTTATTATTATGATGACAGGTATTGATAATTTCAATTCCAAATATCTTGAGAACCATTTCTCGTAGCGATTTTTACCAAGAGACCTTTTTTACGTAAAAAACGTCGTAAATGGATATTCTTTTACTCACTAATTTTATACAGGTACAGACGAAAAATTATTACTCTTCAAACCAGTAAAAAAATATGTAGGTGGCGCCCTCTACAAGTAGAAGTCATATTGACATCAAAATCAAATTTCTCATGTCAAAAAACTCCCAAACACCAATTTTCATCCAAACATTGACGTTACTTCAAAAATTATTTGGAAAAAATCGAAATAAAAATGAAACTTCTACAGCCTGTATCTCCAAAACTAAGCATTTTAGGACATACATTTATACCTATTTGCAGAAAGTGCAGCCGAAGTTTCCGAAGTATAGTTCGGACAACCCTGTATAAAAAATATTTGACTCCTTAGCCTTTTTCTATTCAATGTATAATTTTAAAAGAGACTAGCATTTTATAAAAAGAGTTGATTAATTTTTTTCTGGTATGCCTACCTGGATAGGCAGCTCCTGGCGGTATATTCCCAACAGGTTTCACATTAGTTGGTGGGCCCACAGGAGCACCAGTCTTGAACCCGTATGGTGGGGGATTTGAGTTGCTCCCAGTACCACTATTCGACGTTCCAAGTGGTCTGGAGTTACTGGCGTGTTCCACTGGAGCGCTAGGCTTAAATCCGTAGGCCGGGGGATTAGAATTGCTGCCAGTGTTCGATGTTCCCACAGGCCTAGAGTGACTGATTTGCACAACAGGAGCGCTTGGTTTGATGTTGCCAGCATCTATAACACCAAATAGTAATGTATATGTTACAGTAAAAGTTGGAAATCAGTGATTGTTAACAATTACTAGTACAAGCTCAGATTCACTGATTTGCTAAGACTACGCCAGTAAATGTATAGTAGAAGGAAAAGAGTAGTTGTACTCTCCCAAATATTTTCTGCCAGTTTTTACAATCTGTCGAATACCGGCAGATTGCAGAGCGTTTCAGTTGAGTTCCGTCCGTCGACCTGCGAGGTTCGAACGTTGCATCCCAGCACAGAGACGGATTGACAAAAAATGTTCATGTTTGTGTTCAGGTTAATTTTCTCATGACTGATTACTACTTAATAATTTGATATTATTTTTATTTAAACCTCAGTTTTTTATCGATTTTACTTTTGACAACCATCCCTTGCTTGCTTTTTAACGAACTGCACAATCATTGAACAAAAATTTGCTAGTACCGAAAAAAAAACTGGAAATCCCGATTCATTAGAGGAAAAAAAGAGGTTCCGAAAAACAGCTCGGTTTCCGGAAACGCTATAACGTATCATAACCGTGAGTCGCCCTATACAGGGTGAGTCTTAAATACGTGCAAATATTTTTAAGGGTAGTATATTCTGGCCTCAGAAATATAAAGATTTTTCTGTGCAATTTTTTTTTTAAATCTGGAATTTTTTTTTTATTTTTTAGTTAAAAACATAATTTCTTGATAACAAGGTAACTAGGGTTCAGAACCGGAAATTCTCGGTTCTTTTGAGATATAATAGAAGCGGGACACGAAATTATTAATTCCCGGTTCTTTCGATACCTTCAGGACTCGGTAACAATAACTAAAAAATTATTCTTTTATTACGTGAGAAAATAGTGATGATATTTCTCATTGTTCTTGCTTCTTTTCTCTTTTGAAATTTCTGTAATGTTTATTAGCAATTATTGAAGTTTAAATATGTTATTTTATTATTTAGTACAATGTGTTGTTCAATGTATTAGTTATCCAATGAAAATCACCTAACCTACAACAACAACAAACAACGCTTTATTGTACGAAAAGCCAAAACAGCTTCATCGACAAAGCACTCACAAACAACAAAATCATAAAAAAATACAAACAACAAAAAATACACAATACAATTCAAAAAAATTTAAGTCTTTAAAATTACAAAACGAATATACATGGAAAATTTTAGTACGCAGTAATTAGATATAATTTTAGAGTTATAAAATATTAAATACTTGACCTTTGACCAGTGTGTGAGATTTTGTGAATTTTTAAATTCAAAATTGTTCATAATTAAACATCAACAAAAAAGTCGTTTACCGCATATAGGGCTCTCTCCAGTAGGGATGATTTTAGAGCTTTGCGAAATGCGGGAAAGAATGAAAGCGACTTGATATTCAAAGGCAGATGATTGTACATTTTTTTGGCATTGTACAGTATTGAACCTTTAACTAGTTCTGAGCTCGGGGTTGGCAGATAAAGATCGTGCTCTGCATTCCTAAGTGGATAGTTATGAGATGGCCTTTCGGGAATAGCAGATATGACTTGCGGATTAAGCAAACGGATTCAAAAATGAATAAAGAAGGAAGAGTCAGTATTTTCAAATTTTTAAAGAAATTCTGGCAGTGAGTTTTACTGTTCAGTCCCAATAAATATCGAACTGCTCTCTTTTGAAGTCTGAAAACACGATCAAATTTTGTTGCGCAGCAAGTACCCCAGAATGGAAGGACATAACGAAGATGTGACTCAAAAAGGGCATAATAGGCTATTCTAGAGGTTGAGAAGTTAAGTTCCTTAGAAACTGATCTTAGCGTAAAACAGGCAGCGCTTTCTTTGATAGAACTTCAATATGAAAGTCCCATTTTAACGAGTTGTCTACAACAAGTCCTAAAAATTTCCACGACGTCAATAGTGGTGTTATTAAGTACAAAAGGTTGTATAATACTTTTATATGACAAAACTTTAGTTTTTGATAGGTTAAGACATAGGAGATTAGAATCGCACCAAGACTTAATGGTGCGTAAGTCACTGGATATAGTATCATATAGTGCCGCAACATCTGGGCCGCTCCAAGTGAAACTAGTATCGTCCGCAAAGAGGCAGATTTTACCGCTAATGTCTAGATTTGCAATATCGTTGATAAACACCAGAAACAAAATAGGGTCAAGTACTGAACCCTGAGGGACACCACATTCTATAGGCTTACAAGGAGACATAGACGTATCAATCCTCACAAGCTGCCTTCTGTTGCCAAGATATGACTTAAGCCATTCGAGCGGCACTCCCCTGAAACCATAGTATTGCAATTTGTTAATTAAGATATTATGATTTATACAATCGAAAGCCTTAGAGAAATCACAGAAAATTGTAGCTGTAGAGTGATGGTTATTCAGGCTAGAGTATACATTATTAAAAACGTCGAACATAGCATCATTTGTGCAACTGTTACTTAGAAATCCAAATTGATGGGTAGTAAGTATTTTATATTTAAAGAGAAAAGATAGAAACCTTTTTTTAACAAATCTTTCAATGATCTTAGATAATGTGGGCAGGAGTGCAATTGGGCGATAGTTCGAAGCTTCATCTTTATCACCTTCTTTATACAGAGGAATAATTATTGCTGTCTTAAGGCAGTTTGGAAAAACTCCTTTTTGGAACGACTTGTTAATTAAAGTAGTAAGATGGTTTAATGTGCATTCAGGAAGTTCAGAGAACATTTTGAGAGTAAGTCCATCAGTCCCAGATGAGGACATTAATGTTAAAATTAAACTGGTTTTAAATTTAAAAAAAGTTGTAGAAAATCTTTGAAATAGATAATAATATAAAAATATGTCGTTATTTTGAACGAGAAAGCGGTAGTGATGGTCCTTTATGTCCCATAAGCGCTGTTGATGGAAATAGTAACTGTTTATACCTATATTTATAATTCATTTATTAATAACGTGACTAAAAGTTTATTTGATTTGATGAACTATAACTGAATTTAGAAATATTAGGAATACATAACCAAAAATAAAGACTTTATGCATACCTTGCGTTACTGAAGGCTTGAATCCAATTCCTGGCGCACCATTGCTACCAGAACCACTCTGCGAGCCACTGTGAGAGTTAAATCCAAAGTTTGGAGCATTGTTCAGTGGCTGGCTATTGACAGGTGGACCTACGGGGGCCGAGCTACCACTACTGCCATGTCTGGAGTTGACATCAAACCCAATGGGTCTGGATTGGGAGCTACCAGAAGATTGGTGCGTTGGGTAGGATAGCGAAACTGGATTAGGATGGGATGAAGATGATGATGGGTGGTATGTTTGGCGGGACGGTGCTGAATAGGTTGGTCGGGAGTGAGTAATTCTGGAGGATGAGCCCCAACTCCTACTACCTCCGCTAACTGCAAATAAAATATTTTTTTTAAACAATTAATCCTATACGAAATGTGTAGTACAGTAATTCGAGAATGTTCACTGGGATTCCTATAACTATAAAAGATATGATGGACATCAAATTATGGCAAAGTTTTACAACTTTAGTTCCATAAATTAAAAAATAACCGAAAGCAAAAAAGAACTGAAATATTGTAAAATAACCTTTATTTTTCCCTGACCATTTTTGAAGAAATACAGGGTCGCTTTTATGTATGGAAACGGTCGATTATTAGTTAAAATATAGAAGGTACCACAAAAAGTTAAATACAAAAGTTATAGGATTTTTAAATATCTATTAGCGAGTAATAATTTAAGTATACAGGGTCGGTCATAAAGTTGTGGCACATAAAAGTTTCATTTTTTTAGAACCCCTTGTATATTACTGCATATTTCAGTTCTTCCTTTAATTCTAAGCAAAAATCGAAATACACACAATGTACCTCAAACCGACCGTTTCCGAGTTATTGACTTTTGAAAATATCACTTAAACTATTTGATTTAATTAACTTTGGATATGTTCAGTTTCATTTAACGATGCCATTCTGCCGAAACTGTGATACTTAATAATATTTGACATTATTTCTCAAGTTAGCATTTATAGATGTATAAAATGAGATTATAACAAGTCTGGAATTTACAAAATTTTCGTTTAACATTCAATTCGTCAATTTATGTACCATTCTTCAATTTATGTATATTGTGTATTATGATTATGCTTAAAATTGAAGGAGGATTTGAAATATGCAATAATGTACAAGGGATTTAATTTAAAAAATATAAAGTTTGATGTGCCACAACTTTATGATCGACCCAGTATACTTAAATTTACTATTAGCTAATAGGCATTTAAAACCCCATTACAACAGTATCACAGTTTCGGCAGAATGGCATCATTAAATGAAACTGAACATATCGAAATTAATTAAATCAAATTGTTTAAGTGATATGTTCAAAAGTCAATAACTCGGAAACGCGACGGTTGGTTTGAGGTACATAGTGTGTATTTCGATTTTTGCTTAGAATTAAAGGAAGAATTGAAATATGCAATAATATACAGGGGGTTCTATTTAAAAAATGAAACTTTGATGTGCCACGACTTTATAACTGACCTTGTTATATATAAATTTATTACTCGCCAATAGACATTTAAAAACCCTATATATTTTGTATTTAACTTTTTGCGATACCTTGTATATTTTACCTAATAATCAACCGTTTCCATACATAATAGTAACCATGTAAAATACATGCAACTTTAGTGTCTTTGTTTTAGTATCACTCTATCTCTATTAAGATGGTCCGTTAATATTTAAATCTAAAATTTCTCTTTATTTTTTAAATGCAAACCATTTTTATATTCACATAATCATAGCGGTTCGGTTTACTCATCCCTTTCCAACCCATTGCCTTTTTATGGGTTTTTGTATTATACATTTTTTGGGTATAATACGTGCTACATTATTGTATTTGGAAGATGAAGAATGAACCATTCAGGTTTGTATTTAAAAATGAAGTTGATAATAGTATTTCAGAATCGAAACATAATTTAAAAAAAAATTATATGATGACTGTTGTTTAAAAAACCCAGGTATCCCAGGCTGAGCGTGCATTAGAAGTTTCTAGATTACAACGTCTAGCTCGAAGATTTTTTGCACATCATAGTTTCAAAACGAGATCTATCGATTAAAAATATTTTCAATATGGCGGCACTTGCGGAAATACCGGAAGTTGACAGCAACTTTCTTATTTTAAATGGGTGCTCCCATTTTTTATTATGTACTTAAATTCTATATAAAATTTTATAAATTTTGATATTAAACACTCTATATCTAACATTAACCGTTTTTGAGAAAAAAAAATATTTAAAATTTTTGAACCAAAAAAAACTGCCTGTCAAAAATATTTGTATAGCCTAAACGTCAAATTTAGTGATTACCACAGCCACTGTGCCATAAAGAAAAAACATGTGGCTATCTATTTCAAAAATTAAATTGTTCGAATGTCATATAATAATGGCCGCAGCTGTCATAGAATTGAGCGATTAAAAAAGTATCATAAATTATTTTTTTCAAATGGAAACCCACTTTTTTTATTTCATTAGTGAAAAGGCTTTTCAATTCGTTAATTTTTAACTATACATGTTCCTATACCTAAAATAAATCGTTTTTGAGTTATTTAAGATTTAGTCTTCAAGCGTATATTTTTCTTGATTTTAACCAGTAGCGTATGACTTTAAACGTCAAGTGTGGTAAAACAATAGATCTGGCCATGTCATATTGTGACGCTTTGTTCAAAAAGCAGCATTATTTTCGAACCAACTTTGCACTGTTTTTTTTTCGATCATACGGAATATTATTAATATCAACTATTAGATATCACTAAAGAGCGAAAATACGAGATATATTTTTATAAATACACTTTTAAAACCCTTAAGCAGGCAGTATTTATACTATAGAAAATTCAAATAGTTCGTTTTCTGACAGATGGAAATAATTTGTCTGACCGTTTGACACTTAATGTCAAAGGAAGCTAGATAAAATCAAGAAAAATATAGGTTTTCGAACTCAATCTTAAATAACTTAAAAACGCTTTATTTTAGGTATAGGAACATGTATAGTTAAAAAGTAACGAATTGAAAAACCGTTTTATTAGTGTAATAAAAAAAGTGGGTCTCTATTTGACAAAATTGATTTACGATAATTTTTTAATCACTCAATTCCATAACAGCTACCGCCATTATTATATGACATTTGAACAATTTAATTTTTGAAGTAGATAGCCACATGTCTTCTCTTTATGTCAAGTAGGCTGTGATAATGACTAAATATAACTTTTAGGCTATGCAAATTTTTTTGACAGGTAGTTTTTTTCGTCCAAAAATGTTAAATAATTGTTTTCTCAAAAACGGTTAATGTTAGATATAGATACATCAATATTCATAGAATTTTACTGAGAATTTAAGTGTGTAATAAAAAATGGGGGCAACCATTTAAAATAAGAAAGTTGCTGTCAACTTCCGGTATTTCCGGAAGTGCCGCCATATTGAAAATATTTTTAATCGATAGATCTCGTTGTAAAACAATGATGTGCAAAAAATCTCCGATCTAGATATTGTGGTTCTCTAGAAACTTCTAATGCACGCTCAGCCTGAGACCCTGTATATTGAACAAACACCCTATATAATATATCCAGTTGGATATATAAAGAGAATTGTGATGAAGCATAATGCACAAGTTGTAACATGATGGTTTTTCCAAATGTTTTATCAATTTTTTCAGCTGATTACGTATTAAAATATTCCCTTTATAATAGTCCAGGAGGCAGTGAATTTTTTTTTGTACTTATTTTCCCAGTGGGTGAATATATAAAAGTAGTTCAGATGGTGACATTAAACGTAAATTTGTGAGTATGGCTAAAATTTTCGGATGTAAAAACAATCTTCGGATTGTCACGGGGTTTTTAACAGGACACTGTCTCCTCAATGAACACTTCAGTAGATTGAAAGAAGAAACGGCGAATGCAGATTCTGTGGGGAAAATGGGGAAACACCAGAACACCTCATCACTAAGAGCGCCGAGACGACAACCATTCGTGCCATGAACTTTGGTACGACTGATATTGCATGATACAAGGAGGGTTTGGTTTGGTGTGCTGATATTGGAGATGGAGAACTACCCTCTGTAAAACCGTCCCAGATACTGGCTTTTGTCAAAGCCCTGGAACTCTATGATGAGTTATAACTCGAGAAAGAGGGACACAATAGATCTGTAAGGTCGCAGTGATTAACCCTCCTCCCACTCATTCTAAATAATTCTAACCTCCCATATTATGTATGAATAAATTTGCTTAAAACATACCGAATAATTCTGTCGGTGTTTGCTGACTGGGAAAATAAGTACCGAAAATCTTCACTGCCTCCTGGACTATAAACATTTACCAGAAATACTAAATTAATAATATTGTGAAAATAGGTCGCACCATATTTATTTTTTTAAAAACGTTTTTAGTCACTTTCATATACCTAGGGAATAACAAAATGTGGCAAGTTTCGCAACGTTGCCGTTGTTGGAAAAGGTATTAAAAATTAATCGTGTATTATAAAAAATTAATTACATATTGCGCTCCATACACACAATAAAATTAACAAAAAGATAAAAATAGATGTAGAGTTGTTTAACGGGCTCATAAAATACAAATAATGTTTCTAACCTGTTCTATTCTATTTATTTGCAAGAATCAGTAATTAGTGAATACCCAAACGCGCTTTATAAAAATCAATTCTGCAGCCTTGAAATATTTTCTTTCTTTAATACGAATTATAATTTCTTAATATTAACCCAATATATTCATATAAATCATTAATAAATAATAAAAAAAGTGTTCTTACCTTTTCTACATTCCGCTAAAACACTAAAAGCAACAACAAATACAACAAAACACTTAAAACAGTGCCCAAGTCCAGGGTCAAACCCCATTGGAGATTTATAAAATGACTATTTTAAAACACTATCTACGCTGGTATTCACTAAACTATTTACTAAAGATGTTGAAAATTTATCTGGCTACAAAGAAAGTAAACATCGCGAGAGGTCACGACGGACGCGACGTTTACAACAAATCCGATAAAAGCAACCAAAGCAACTGGTCAGTGGACGAATGAGAAGTCAATACCGACTTGTAATTATTAAAATTACAGAACCGGAATAGCTGGAAATTAGAGGTTTATGTTGGATGTTCTGTGTTAACGCTAAACAATAGTAAGTAGGTGTAGGTAACAAGTACCTGCATTGGATTAATTCGTACGAAAAATTGTTCGTACGAATTCGTAACGATAAATTATAACGAATTTTGTTACATTGGATGCATTCGTCTTTGTATACAGGATGGTCCGAAGTGTATTCCGGAAACTTCGGCAGCATATTCTGCACGTAAAATTAAGTAAAGAAGTTCGTATAAATGTATGTCCTAAAATGCTTAGTTTCGGAGATACTTTGTAGAAGTTTCATTTTTATTTCGATTTTTTCCAAATAATTTCTGAAGTATCGTCAATATTTAGATGAAAATTGATATCTGGAAGTTCTTTGACATCATGAGACATTTGATTTTGATGTCAATATATGACTCTTACTTAAATAGGGCGACACCTACCTGTTTTTAAACTGCTTTGAAGAGTAATACCTTTTCGACCGTACCTGTATAAAACAACTGAGTAGAAAAATGTGAATTTATGACGTTTTTACGTAAAAAAAAGTCTGTAAAAATCGCTACGAGTAATAGTTCTCGAGATATTCAGAATCGAAATTATCAATAATTGTCATCATTGATATAAATTAGATATGTTGACTGAATAGTTATTAGACTGAAATCATAAATTTGAAATGTTTTTCATCATAAATCATAAATTTTAAAAGTTCAACAGAAACTGTTTTATAATCATCATTTTTTTGAAGAAAAATTTATGATTAATTTAAAAAAATAAAAAGTTCCCAAATTTATCATTTCAGTAGTCGCATAACTATCTACTCAACATGTCTATTTTTAGTCATTAATGACATGTATTGACTATTTCCATTCTGAATATCTTTACTACGGTTGCTCGTAGCGATTTTTACTAAGAGACCTTTTTTACGTAAAAAACTTCGTAAATATTTATTTCTTTACTCAGTAGTTTTATACAGGTACGGCCGAAAAGTTATTACTCTTCAAACCAGTTAAAACACATTTAGGTGGCGCCCCTACAAATAGGAGTCATATTGACATCCAAATCAAATTTCTCATGTAAAAGACTCCAAGACACCAATTTCCATCCAAATATTGATATTACTTCAGAAATTATTTGGAAAAAATGGAAATAAAAATGAAACTTATACACTCTGTATCTGCAAAACTAAGCATTTTAGGATATATATTTGAACTTTTTTACTTATTTTTGTCTGCACAATATGCCACCGAAGTTTCCGGAATACATATTGGACCACCCTGTATATAAGCGATACCAATTAAACTTTTAGTTACGTAATCGAGAGGTTGATTTTTAAATTCATTGTTGCCAATTATGGACATATTCAGCGCCGGGCTCACTAATATTTGGCACAAAATAGATTCATATGATATCAGAATTATTTTTTTGAGAATTTAAACTTATAGTTGAGGGTTGGAACCTTTGGTGTTAAACAGCAAAATAAAACACTAATTCACCAAAACACTTTATTTTGCACTGGACGCGCGTTTCACTAACCATGTTAGCATCATCAGCAGGTGGTTAAAACCATTTGAGTTTTAAATGAATTAGTGTATTATTTTGTATTTAAATTCCTCTGTTTTTCTATCTCACCCTCTAGTTTTTGTAAATAAACACAAAAATAATTCATGTTTCTATTTGAATAATAATAGTTATTTATGATATAAGTGCTAAAAGTGGTATTTTATTTTGTGAGAAGGGAAGCTTGGGGAGTAAAAAGTAATAATACCTTGATATATTATATCAAGGTATTATTACTTTTTACGTTAATGAATAATTCATAATATTATGTCATTCTGAAATCAAATTAATTATGAAGCTTATGGTTGCTAGGGTAACAATTATCGCTTCAGTGTTAAAAGTAAATCACGTGACTTACTTTTAGCACCAGTGCCTTTGAATAAGAAGACTAAGGAAGGAGCATATCAAAAATCTTAGGTCCACCACGATGGGCCTCAAATATGGCCGACTTAAATCCCGGTTTATCAGTGCCGTTCTAATTTTATTTAAAAAATGTAAAACTATGATGTAGGGTAGACGTGAGGTAGACTCAATAATATGTTGTTTTATATGACGTTGTGAATAAATGTTGGTAGTTATTAAAATTGTTACAAAAATATATAATTCTAATAAAAATAGATAAGTTATAATAATTATTTATTAACACATCCGATTTAAACATCCGATACGCTACTGAAGCAGGTAAATCTGGTAAATCAAATTGACGTATCTAAATTCTTTGACATCTAATCTTTGACAAGTAGTGCATAAAAGCAAAAATGCAAGAAAAAATATATAATTAGTTAATTTAAGTGAATTTCATAAATGATCGGTTTACTACACGTATGTATATTATATAGTCACTTACTAGCGAAAAGTTGTTCCATTATTTCACTCAATTTTTGCCGAGATCTATCGCACGCTACACAACCAACTATTTTAGAGTCTTTGTCCATAAATCGCGATAGTGTCACTGTTAATTTAAGTTCTGCCACAATTTCCATCTACATTTACTACCTTTATACAACTATCAGTAGTAGAATAAATAATAAATAACATAAAATAAGCTCCGTAAAGACTGACAAATCCATAAAATTTCAAATCAAATTCAAATGTGTCAAATGAATCGTCAAACAAAACTGTCAAGGATCCCCACCCTACTTAAGGGTGGGTAAACTAAGAGTGCTTTTTCCGCCCACCATGCATGAATACATGGATAGCATTATGCTCCTTCCTTAGTCTTCTTATTCAAATACCAGTGCTAAAAGTAAATGACTTTTACCATCAGTGACATAATGTCACATTTTAGGCACTGACAGCATGCGTTAAAAATTACATTTTTACTGACGTTTGTAGAAAAAAGTATTTTTACAGGCTCACCTTACATTTGCCTATTTTTTTAGTTTTGTCAAAAGTTTACTGTTTTGAGTAAAATCTCAAATGAATTGAATAACCTAAAAATACAATTAGCTGATCTGCTTAAATGGAGGTGAAACGTTGACCATTTCTAATAGAGGTCGCTGATTCTGAAGTATTGAAAAGCTGCTATAATTGTTCATTACTTAGATTCATTATTTCAGTTTACTAAACTATAAAAAAGATATTTTAAAATATAGTAGGTTTCTACTATAATTAATGATAATCTACAATGATTTAAGAGGTGACAACATTGTATTCTCTCGAAGCACCATAAAGAAATTTTCGGAAGCTGAACAAGCGGCACTCAAAAGTTTTTCAATATTTTCCGGAAAATATCAAAAAAAAAATATAAAATTTGTAACATTTCTTTTTCGCAAAAAAAATATCATGGCGTGAACTATAATACCAGTTAAAATACTTATACTTATTTCTGGGATACCCTGTACATAATATAACACCATTTTTTTTGTCTAACACCAATGTTTTCCTTAAAAATTAGACACAAACAGACACGACGGTCCATAATCGAATATCTCTGATATGTTTTGAACAAGAAAGAATCGGTTTTTTTTCATTCTTGTGGGTTATAAGATACCATAGGTTTACCGTAAAAAATAATAAGCTAGTAACTCCCTAATAGTTTCTCTCTTCTTCAATTTTTATGAATCACTCATTTTACCGAGAACACAACAAATCTCAACAACCATAAACGCAAACGCAAATCAGAACAAAAATGATTGTGCTATTGTCGTGACGTCATTATTAGGTTCATTACGTCGTTCTGCTTGAAGCGACAAATTTCTCTTGGTTGACGCTAAAATTGTCTAAAATTACCGTAAATTGTGATAGGGAGTAAAATTATTCAGACAGGACAGTGATTTATTTAAATTACGCCTTGTGAATACTGAATCCGACCCTGTTAGCATTACCAATATTTAGTTATTATTACTATACTGAATCTTTTTAAAATTAGTTCTTGGTTCTTGGATATTATGAGTAACGTAGTTAAATAAATTATTGAAATATTTGATTTGTGTTTATTTACTGAAAATGATTGAGATAATAGTAATTTGTTGTCAGAACGTCAATGTTTTTAACGTTTAAATAGATGTATTTATAAGAAAGTTGTCTATACAGGGTGTCCCAATATTCCGTGGACATTCATAAGGGCATTAAAAACATAAACACATTTTTTCAGCTATTTTAAGAACCGTTATTCCGATTTGAATGAGATTTTAGGTGTCTATGTTTTCATGGGCGCCGGAAGAATCGAATGTAGGGAGGGGCAAGGTAAAAACGAATAAAAAATTGACATTTTTGGTAATTATTGGTAAAACTGGAAATCGTCCGATTTTCACCAAAATTGGTATACACCCTATTTTGAAGTCGTAAATTACGAATCTGAACTTTTTTCTTGGCGGTCTCTTACCGTTTTTCAGAAAAACGGAAAATAATTTCAATATCGAATTTTTCTTAATTTCTCATATTTTTAAGGTTTTCTAGCACATATTTTGTTAGGTATTCAATAAACAATAATGTTTTTGCTATTTTCTGTTACTTTTTTAACCAATTCTATGCATAATAGAGAAAAATTTGCTAAAATTAATTTGTAAACAATCTGAAAATGTTAGGTTATAGCTTTGTTCGAGTTCTTGTTATTACCGATTCTGACCAAGAACCGTCCAAGAACTCTGCAGCGCATGCGCAAATGAAATAATGTCTTCGTATTTCCTTCTGCGCATACGCATCATAGTTCTAAGACGGTTCAGAATCGGTAATAAGAGAAACCCGAAGTAAGCTTATGTGTTTCTGGCGTTTAAAGCAACGTTACCAACGCTAAACATAAATTTAGCGTGTTTTTTTCGCTCATTCTGGAATTACGAAAGGCGGTCGCCAGAAGGACGGCTCCTTCCCATAACTGCTATTTTACCAACGAGATCTGACTATTTATACCCACGAAGTTGCACGAAAGAGTTTTGATTGCATTGGTTACAACTTCCATGCAGAGGGTG